CAGCACCGAGTTACAATCAGAGAAGAGTTCGTACACACATACATGTCCTCCGACATTTATAGGAGTTCAACGGAATTTAAAATACCGTAACTTTAGATATGCGTAAACAAAGACAATTGTAAAGGGAATGAATGATAAACGAGAGATGACAAATATAAAACTTAGATAAGACAGTATTGCCAGATCAAACTTGACATTATTAAAAAAAAAACTTAATCTAATGTAACTAATCCTAAACAATTAATAGCAGGTACCCTAAATACTGTTTTACTATTTTTATGGTAATTCCTTACAAACAGAATATGAGACCAACATACAAATTTAATACACAACGCGCTTCAGATGTCGCGTGTGTATAGCCATTAAATTGATACTTTTATTCAACAATCCAGTGATCGAACTTAAGAGTGAGTTATTGGTAGACGATTTATCGAGAAATCCATTATGACAACCGTGACGTAGAGTGTAGGCAACAATCAATAATAATGGTTTGAAGATGTTGTTGTCATGGAAACCGTTTACAATTCTTGAACATTTTGCAGGAAATTTTTAATATAGTGGATTGATATACTTAAATTTTGATATCAATCTATGAATATAGTGAAATATTCATATTTCCGATAATTGCATGTCATTTCTTTGCAAAACTATGTGACGTAGAAAAGTGAGAGTGTTTGCAACTAGAAAGCATTTTCATGAGCGTATAACGTCCGGGTAAACCATCAAAATGACAGATTATTGCCCGCAATAGATTTTTCTAGACTCGTGTATTGTGTCCTCAGGTGCCCGGTTAAAAATTTTGACTGCAATATTTATTGGTTCTGGGAGCGTGATGTAATGTCGCTAAGAAGTATATTTACTGACGGTATCTCAAAACAAATAATATTAAACATTGTGTGATACATTTTATATATAAATAATAATTTACGAAAAGTAAGGAAATGAATTCAATATTTAGAAACATGGACAAGAAAAGTTTACCAAAATTATTCAATAACGAAACATTACTTTGTTGTCAGTGATATATTGTATATTATGCTTTTTCGATATTTAAGTTTAATCGCGATTTGGTCCGAAAGAATGTTTCGTCATAAAAAAAGGGGGGGAAAACTTTAGTATAACGTCCCACGCTTTCGGGGATAAAATGGGTATGGGCGGATAGAGGAGATCCTCCAGATCAAGAATATATATAGATATAGCCGCGGGAAACCTATGGTTTTCAAGATATTTGGGTTTAAAGTTCAAAATTTCGTCTATTTAAAGTACGTATTTTTTCGTTATAGAATGAATTATACAGTTATATTTTTAACTTTTATATCCACTAACACTTCACTAATTCGTTTTTACACATTTTTTTTATATTATATCATAAAAAATAGCTTTATTTCAATATTTTAATTATTCTTCAATTTTTGTGATTTTCACAATAACAAGATGGTTGCAAAATGTCAAATAACCAGTGTTACCTTATCGACATCTTTTGTAAGTGAACTGAAAGAAATGAAAACAGATTATACCCCAATTAAAATATGTTGAAATTCCATTCATTTTTAAAATAAAAACTTGAATTATAAATTTTATAATTTATCCTTTTCCACAATTTAAGCACAACTCACTAAACGCGTTTGAATTTTATTTGCCATATATCTTGAAAAAACAATAGGTTTTTCGCGGGCTTATAGTCTATATTATATTTTCTTTGATCTGGAAGATCTCCTCTATCCGCCCATACCCATTTTATCACCGAAAGCGTGGGACGTTATTCTAAAGCCGACCCAAAAGGGGATTCAATTCAGCGAGACAGGCACGATTATTTGTAATAAAGGAAACTTTTTATTATTTTGTGAATAGAAAGAATTGAAGATACATATGTACATTAAATGTGAATTAAAGTTATGGGGTCGGCTTTAGCATACCACCTCACGAGTTCAGGGTTAAAATGGTCATGGGTCGGCTTTAGTATACCGTCCAAGGCTTTCGGGGATAAAATGGGGGTGGGCTTTTGTTTAGCATCCCACGATTTCAGGGTTAAGAGGGGAAGGTTGGATAGAGGATATCCTCCAGAAAAAGAGAGAGATGCATCCCATTTCTATTCAGTTGACGCATTGGTCGTCTGTACACTGTTCACCTGAACAATACCCCATACTTCTATCTGCAGTTGCTGTTAATTAATGTACGTGGATGGACAGTCTTCCCAGATTTAAGTCAGTCAACAGTCGATGGTTAGCTGTGCGCCACCTATGTTGTTGTTTTCCCACTAAAAGAGCTGTATCGGCGGGGTCGGACCATAAGGAGAAAGGTATTAGATGAGTGGGGTCCGTTGGGCATGCAAAGAGGTGGTGTCATGCGGATACTCTTTGCATGCTGGACTTATGTATGATATGTCGGGGTCGATTCTGCATAGGTATGTGTTTAACCTGCTACAGTATCCAGAACGAAGATACGCCACCTATCGACAAGCTTGCCTTGTTTGGAACAAAATCTTCTTGATGCATATTGAGACACTACACTCTATGATGAACAAAATACATCAAATACACACGTTATTTGCTATAATATGGGCAACCTGCGTCTAATCTCATCCAAAAGATCTTTGGCAAAGTGCAAGGACTACATGCGTAAAGATATTCTACATTGTTTGTGCGCTGCTAATCAAAATCCGCAAAATTACGATTCTTTCGGCACTGCGATCTGATTGTACGGGCGGATAGAGGATATACACATATACCTGCCTCTGACTTATAGTTTTCGAGATATTTGTATTTAAAGTTCCAAAATTTGTTAAAGTTATGCACGCCCTACACTATGTTTAACACCCTGTCGACCCATTTGTCAACTCATTTGTACACATTAAAATATATCCATAATATAGATTTATTGTGCATTTTTAAAGTAAGTAAATATATTATATATAAGAAATTTGTATTTTTACATTAATGACAAATATCAGTATTGCCACATGCTGTGTTGTGCAAAAATTATCAAAAAATGTTTTGTTGTTGTTGTTGTAGCGGCAGAATTTTGTCGAGTTGACAGTCCTTGGCCGGAAAAAATCCGGATCCGTTCCGGTTACGTAGATCCGAATGTTATGGAAACGGCAAAAAAAAAGATTTAGTACCCCGCCCTCTCCTCATATATCGGTTATGTTGCAAACTACTAAAACAGAGATGTTGTGGGACAATGGTGCGCTCCGTCAGCGACATTAGTTCCAAACTCTTGACGATGCGATGAGACGATTAAGTCAGCTGCATGCCGCAGTGCATAGCTCCTCTACTGATTCCAAAAGTGCATCATGTGGCGCAATCTCGGAGGACGTAGCTCCTCCAACCAGGTTATGATTATCCATGAAGCGCTCAAAATGTGATTCAAGTGACTTGAGCTCTTGTTGAAAGTGAAACACATCACGACCTTCTATGGCACCTTCCGAGAAACGTGTATGTATGTGCTTTATTGCTTTCACTGTTGATGTACGCTAATTGAGCTCCGCCATGAAACCCCAAAACCGCAATTACAAAACGAAATTAAAAAATATTTGTCCTCACAGGAGGCACCAAAATGAGGAATACTTAATTTACCAGCGGGTAGAGTTCTCAATGCTTTATTGGGATTTGTACAATTGTGAACGGTTTGTTTGACACCAAACTAGAGATGAGTATAATCAGCACCGAGTTACAATCAGAGAAGAGTTCGTACACACATACATGTCCTCCGACATTTATAGGAGTTCAACGGAATTTAAAATACCGTAACTTTAGATATGCGTAAACAAAGACAATTGTAAAGGGAATGAATGATAAACGAGAGATGACAAATATAAAACTTAGATAAGACAGTATTGCCAGATCAAACTTGACATTATTAAAAAAACTTAATCTAATGTAACTAATCCTAAACAATTAATAGCAGGTACCCTAAATACTGTTTTACTATTTTTATGGTAATTCCTTATAAACAGAATATGAGACCAACATACAAATTTAATACACAACGCGCTTTAGATGTCGCGTGTGTATAGCCATTAAATTGATACTTTTATTCAACAATCCACTGATCGAACTTAAGAGTGAGTTATTGGTAGACGATTTATCGAGAAATCCATTATGACAACCGTGACGTAGAGTGTAGGCAACAATCAATAATAATGGTTTGAAGATGTTGTTGTCATGGAAACCGTTTACAATTCTTGAACATTTTGCAGGAAATTTTTAATATAGTGGATTGATATACTTAAATTTTGATATCAATCTATGAATATAGTGAAATATTCATATTTCCGATAATTGCATGTCATTTCTTTGCAAAACTATGTGACGTAGAAAAGTGAGAGTGTTTGCAACTAGAAAGCATTTTCATGAGCGTATAACGTCCGGGTAAACCATCAAAATGACAGATTATTGCCCGCAATAGATTTTTCTAGACTCGTGTATTGTGTCCTCAGGTGCCCGGTTAAAAATTTTGACTGCAATATTTATTGGTTCTGGGAGCGTGATGTAATGTCGCTAAGAAGTATATTTACTGACGGTATCTCAAAACAAATAATATTAAACATTGTGTGATACATTTTATATATAAATAATAATTTACGAAAAGTAAGGAAATGAATTCAATATTTAGAAACATGGACAAGAAAAGTTTACCAAAATTATTCAATAACGAAACATTACTTTGTTGTCAGTGATATATTGTATATTATGCTTTTTCGATATTTAAGTTTAATCGCGATTTGGTCTGAAAGAATGTTTCGTCATAAAAAAAGGGGGGGAAAACTTTAGTATAACGTCCCACGCTTTCGGGGATAAAATGGGTATGGGCGGATAGAGGAGATCCTCCAGATCAAGAATATATATAGATATAGCCGCGGGAAACCTATGGTTTTCAAGATATTTGGGTTTAAAGTTCAAAATTTCGTCTATTTAAAGTACGTATTTTTTCGTTATAGAATGAATTATACAGTTATATTTTTAACTTTTATATCCACTAACACTTCACTAATTCGTTTTTACACATTTTTTGTATATTATATCATAAAAAATAGCTTTATTTCAATATTTTAATTATTCTTCAATTTTTGTGATTTTCACAATAACAAGATGGTTGCAAAATGTCAAATAACCAGTGTTACCTTATCGACATCTTTTGTAAGTGAACTGAAAGAAATGAAAACAGATTATACCCCAATTAAAATATGTTGAAATTCCATTCATTTTTAAAATAAAAACTTGAATTATAAATTTTATAATTTATCCTTTTCCACAATTTAAGCACAACTCACTAAACGCGTTTGAATTTTATTTGCCATATATCTTGAAAACAATAGGTTTTCCGCGGCTATATCTATATATATTCTTGATCTGGAAGATCTCCTCTATCCGCCCATACCCATTTTATCACCGAAAGCGTGGGACGTTATTCTAAAGCCGACCCAAAAGGGGATTCAATTCAGCGAGACAGGCACGATTATTTGTAATAAAGGAGCCTTTTTATTATTTTGTGAATAGAAAGAATTGAAGATACATATGTACATTAAATGTGAATTAAAGTTATGGTCGGCTTGCATACCACCTCACGAGTTCAGGGTTAAAATGGTCATGGGTCGGCTTTAGTATACCGTCCAAGGCTTTCGGGGATAAAATGGGGGTGGGCTTTTGTTTAGCATCCCACGATTTCAGGGTTAAGAGGGGAAGGTTGGATAGAGGATATCCTCCAGATCAAGAATATATATAGATATAGCCGCGGGAAACCTATGGTTTTCAAGATATTTGGGTTTAAAGTTCAAAATTTCGTCTATTTAAAGTACGTATTTTTCGTTTAGAAATGAATTATACAGTTATATTTTAACTTTTATATCCACTAACACTTCACTAATTCGTTTTACACTTTTTGTATATTATATCATAAAAATAGCTTATTTCAATATTTAATTATTCTTCAATTTTTGTGATTTTCACAATAACAAGATGGTTGCAAAATGTCAAATAACCAGTGTTACCTTATCGACATCTTTTGTAAGTGAACTGAAAGAAATGAAAACAGATTATACCCCAATTAAAATATGTTGAAATTCCATTCATTTTTAAAATAAAAACTTGAATTATAAATTTTATAATTTATCCTTTTTCACAATTTAAGCACAACTCACTAAACGCGTTTGAATTTTATTTGCCATATATGAAGTAAATAGCAAATGGAAAAAACGAAACGGTACTCTTCTTCAAAAGTAACAGTAATTATATCCGTTAGAGAGCATTGATGTTAAGGATTATGTTATACCCTATATGACAATATTACTTTTTTGCGTAGAACTCCTTTTTGCGTTGGCGGCCTTCGGCCGCGCTTCAAAAATTACCCTGGTCGATCCAACACCCGGGTGTACTAAGGTCTTTTGCGTGGAAATACTTTTGCGTTGCGGCCTTGGCCCGCTTCAAAAAATAACCCTGGTCGATCCAACACCTGGGTTTATCAAAAGAAGAACTAAATGATTTATTAGTGTCCATCAACAATTATGATTCCTGTATCTAGGGATCTATAATCTCTGTTAATTTTATTTTTCTTCGTTTACAAAATATATTAGTATGGCAACACTGATGTTTTGACATTCACAACCATTTTGTTATTGTCAAAATTGATAAAATTGAAGAATGATTTAAATATTGAAATAAAGCTATTTTTTATGATATAATATAAAAAAAATGTGTAAAAACGAATTAGTGAAGTGTTAGTGGATATAAAAGTTAAAAATATAAGTGTATAATTCATTCTATAACGAAAAACTCTAAACCCAAATATCTTGAAAACAATAGGTTTCCCGCGGCTATATCTATATATATTCTTGATCTGGAAGATCTCCTCGATCCGCCCATACCCATTTTATCACCGAAAGCGTGGGACGTTATTCTAAAGCCGACCCAAAAGGGGATTCAATTCAGCGAGACAGGCACGATTATTTGTAATAAAGGAGCCTTTTTATTATTTTGTGAATAGAAAGAATTGAAGATACATATGTACATTAAATGTGAATTAAAGTTATGGGGTCGGCTTTAGCATACCACCTCACGAGTTCAGGGTTAAAATGGTCATGGGTCGGCTTTAGTATACCGTCCAAGGCTTTCGGGGATAAAATGGGGGTGGGCTTTTGTTTAGCATCCCACGATTTCAGGGTTAAGAGGGGAAGGTTGGATAGAGGATATCCTCCAGATCAAGAATATATATAGATATTGCCGCGGGAAACTTATAGTTTTCGAAATATTTACGTTTAAAGTTGAAAATTTCAACTATTTTAAGTACGTATTTTTGCGATTTAAAATGAATTATACACTTATTTTTTTCTTTTTTATATCCACTAACACTTGACTAATTAGTTTTTCGACATTTTTTTTATTAGATGCTGCAAAAATAGCTTTATTTCCATATTTAAATCATACTTCAATTTTATTAATTTTGACAATAACAAAATGGTGGTGAATGTCAAAACAGCAGTGTTGCCATACTAATATATTTTGTAAACGAAGAAAAATAAAATAAACAGAGATTATACCCTAGATACAGGAAACAACGCAAAAAGAAGTTCTGCGCAAAAAAATCTCGATACACCCCAGTGTTGGACCGACCAGGGTTATTTTTTTGAAGCGCGGGCGAAGTCCGCCAATGCAAAAAGAAGTTCTGCGCAAAAAAACCTCGATACACCCCGGTGTTGGACCGACCAGGGTTATTTTTTTAAAGCGCGGCCGAAGGCCGCCTACCCATAAGGGGTTCTACGCGAAAAGAAATTGTTACATCCAGGTGTTGAACCGACCAGGGTTATTTTTTTTGAAGCGCGGCCGAAGGCCCCCAACGCAAAAGGAAGTTCTACAAGAAAAAGTAATATTGTCATAGAGTGTATAACGTAATACTTAACATCAATGCTCTGTAATAGTTTATTTCTCTAGGTTTTGGATTCCTGTATTTGGGGTATTATCTGTTTTAACTTCTTTCAGTTCAATTACAAAAGATGTCGATAAGGTAACACTGGTTATTTGACATTTTGCAACCCTTTTGTAATTGTCGGAATTAATAGAATTTAACAATAATTTAATAATTGAATTAAACTATTTTTGCACTATATAATGTAAAATAAATGTGTACAAACGAATTAGTGAAGTGTTAGTGGGTATAAAAGTGGAAAATTACTTGTCTATTCGTAAGAAAATAAAACTTTATTTGTCTTACGCTGGGCAGAAAAGGTATGCGTAAAAGGTACCCACAAAATAAATTGTTGGAAAACATAAATGTATATACTTTTTATAAAACTTAACGTGCTTCGTTCCAGTTACGTACTTTATTGCCAGATCAAACTTGACATTATTAACTTAATCTAATGTAACTAATCCTAAACAATTAATAGCAGGTACCCTAAATACTGTTTACTATTTTTATGGTAATTCTAAAACAGAATATGAGACCAACATACAATTAATACACAACGCGCTTAGATGTCGCGTGTATGCCATTAAATTGATACTTTTATTCAACAATCCGAGTCGAACTTAAGAGTGAGTTATTGGTGAACGATTTATCGAGAAATCCATTATGACAACCGTGACGTAGAGTGTAGGCAACAATCAATAATAATGGTTTGAAGATGTTGTTGTCATGGAAACCTTTACAATTCTTGAACATTTTGCAGGAAATTTTAATATAGTGGATGATATG